CATCATAATCTCGCTAACTCCCATTTTGGGTAGACAGTGCCTTCAAAGTCTTCTGGAAGTTTCTGCGATATAGCGCAGTAGTGCTTCTGAATTTTATACACACCTCAAAGTGAAGCGTGTAGTGAGCTAGTGAATTTGAAGATGTGATAACGGGTTTTCAGCTTTCATCAATTGTTTGCTAACTTACCGCTTTGCAGTTCGACCACGAGAAACTACAGATGTGATGGGCACATTTCTGAGTACACGAAGTGTACGCACCAAGACCTTAATCCTCAACGGAAACCATTTGTTGTTCCGAAGGATGTGAAAAAGAAGAATGATCACTTGAAATACCTTCGAATGAATGTGAGTTCTACTCGTCTAATCAGTCGATGGTTGGAGCAATCTCGAGGCAAATATGAGCACACAGTTTTCATGTGGAAACTGATTAGAAACCCGTTTGGGCAGCATCTCAGTGCCCTATTCCCATCAGTTCTCAAATGGAAGCTCATCTGCACATATTTGCCTGAACAACGTCTACAGGTCCTGTTTTTTTACTGTATGCGATGATAAATCAAACCCAGAATGCATGTGTAGAGAACCAGATAGATATAGGTTTTTTTTTAGTTTCTGAAGGAGCGCGTCTATAACGAAGCGATAGCAGATGAGAAGGTTGTTGGGTAAGAAAGTGCACCATGTTGAGAAGTTAGAGAAAAAATTTCTTTTCAGCCATTCCGACCAGTTCAAATACCTTGGATCACGCGGAATGAAGACCAGCGAGGTGAAGGCAGAGGTTGAAGGAAAAAGTTTGGGAGGTAAGAGTAGCTTGCAAGTGTTACACTTCACAGTGCCTACATTCGTGATACATTTAGTGGGTTCGGGAATGTCACAGCAGTTGGTCAAAGCGGGTACTATTGTGGATCAAGAGTGTGAGTACTCGGACGTTTCTCATGTACATCGAGCAAGAAATGGTAATTTTTGCGGTCCCGGGGTTCACCGCGTTTACGAAATTCACTTTGCCTGGAAAAAGCAAATATTTGCAGGAGTTTTATATTCGGTGGTTCTGGGCAGTGCTGATGCTGTGTCTAACAGGAACTCGTATTATAAACTTCAGCTTCTGAAACACGATACTAAAGCAAAGT